AGTTCTACAAGGATGCAAACATTAGTGTATATATACCCAAGTCCTATTTTTACAAGGATGCAAACATTAGTGTATATATACCCAAGTCCTATTTTTACAAGGATGCAAACATGAGTGTATATATACCGAAGTTCTATTTTTCAAGGACGCAAACATTAGTGTATATATACCCAAGTCCTATTTTTACATGGATGCAAACATTAGTGTATATATACCCAAGTCCTATTTTTACAAGGATGCAAACATTAGTGTATATATACCCAAGTCCTATTTTTACAAGGATGCAAACATTAGTGTATATATACCCAAGTCCTATTTTTACAAAGATGCAAACATTACTATATATATACCCAAGTCCTATTTTTACAATTTTTCATAACCCACATTGTTATATTTTCTAACAATATTTATTAGTGAAACCCTTTTTTCATAACCCACATTGTTATATTTTCTAACAATATTTATTAGTGAAACCCTTTGTTTCACCTGGTGAGACACTTTCCATTAATAAGAGTAATTAACTTGTAACTGATATTTACATTATTTTATTATAGATTTTACAGTAAAGAAGAATATTTTTATTGTAAAAACTGTAACTTAAGATAATACTTATAAATCAATAAATAAACTCAAAACAAAACTATAATATTTACATTGTTTTCAATTCTGACATTTTGACAATATTTTTTGTGTAATATGATATGAAAAGTTTCCTTGGTTATTTCTATTATTATTTTGGAGTCATCAGTGCTTTTATTTAATTTTAATAACTGTCCAAAGTGGTCTATTAAAGGTAGTTGTTAATAAAAGCATTGTTCGATATTTTATACTATGCAATCAGTAATACGGTGTTTTTTTAATTGAATGCTTCTTCGTGGTGTATTATAATTTTTGCCAGTAATTTGACATTACTGTAATGTATTTTTCCTTTTAATATGACATTCAGAAGAATGTAAATATGGCCCATTTTTCAAAATTGCTAATGATCTTAAAATATTACATTCAAACTAAAAGAAAAGGCTTTTCAAGGGTAAAATTTTAAAATTTGATAATTTAAAAATCTCTGATAGATAATAAATAATAAAAAAACTTATAATTGCTTACAGTTTCTGTACATTAACTTAGGAATTTATTGTTGGCTAGTCAGTATACTTATTTCTTTATATTAACTGTATTATTGTTGGCTAGTCAGTATACTTATTTCTTTATATTAACTGTATTATTGTTGGCTAGTCAGTATACTTATTTCTTTATATTAACTGTATTATTGTTGGGTTTTTTTTTTTCAAAACTCGAAGAATAACTGTCATTACAAGAATGATGATTGTTTGTATGTTTTCAGTATTTTGTGAGCGTCATGTCTGTCTTACTGCTCGTAGCCTGGATTGGTAGTGTAATCAACAACCTGGTGCTTGCTTACTTCCTTGGTAAGTTATGTACACTAATAAAAAGCTCATTATTATATATATATAGTAATGTTTCCATCCTTGTAGAACTGGGACTTGGGTATATATATACACTAATGTTTGCATCCTTGTAAAAAATAGGACTTGGGTATATATACACTAATGTTTGCATCCTTGTAGAACTTGGGTTTCACTAATTAATATTGTTAGAAAATATAACAATGTGGGTTATGAAAAAAGGGTTTCACTAATTAATATTGTTATAAACAATGTGGGTTATGAAAAAAGGGTTTCACTAATTAATACTGTTAGAAAATATTATAACAATGAGGGTTATGACTCAGATAGTGCACATGTACCAGAATGTGTGAAACTAACACGCCTCAGACAAATGCACATAT